GGGAAGGTGTCCGGGCCTGCTACCCTCTTGCTGTGATGCCTTCTACAGCTGCCTCCCTTGGCCGGCTTGATTTCCAGTCAGGTCATTTTTCTGTAAAAGCTCAAAGTAAGAGATGATGTCGTGTTCCCCCCCCTCCCCCCAGCTTTGAGTTTCTGAACACGTGTACACGCAGTATTTGCATGTGTGTTATTACCATTTTGTCAGCTCTACCAAAACAAAGACCACAGTGATGGGCCTCCTGCTGCCAGAGCTTGCCCGGCATAGTCCAGTCATGCCAATGCGTGGAAAACACTACCAGGCAAGGACCAGCCTCCCGCTTCTCCAGAAACCTCTCTGTGCTTATTATTCCTACAAAGGCAGCGGATCAGTCCTGCTCGGCCAAACAAACCCACCTCTGCCATAGACCTCCATCCACCTCTGCGCCTCAGGCAACTCCAGGGCGTCTTCCCCTCTCCCACTGCGCAGGCTAGGCAGTGCAAAAACAAGGGACGAAGCAGGTTGACCCGTTTGTTGCAGCAGGGAAGAGGCAAAGGAGGGAGCTGGGCTGCCCTCAGACTCTGGGTCCTTTCTGCTCCCTCCTCTCCTGCCCAGAACCTTCTCCGGAAGAAGGAAGGTGGGAAATGCCCTCAGTTCACATCCAACAGCGCCTTACTCATTTCCAGGAGGGGAGGAAATAGGGCACAGAGACAGTGAGATGGGGTTTTCCCCAAGCAAGGCTCACATTTTCTTCTGGTTTTAGGGCCTTCTGTTTTTGGTAAGACTGGCTCCACCAAGGGTCCAAAATCTCATTACTCATGATGAAATCACCAGAAAGAACAGACCTGAGTCTGGGAACTTGCAAATCATCTTAGCTATTCTCATACCCACAAGCTGTAATTCTGATTGAAAATAATCAAAAACAAGTGGACTGAGCAGCTCTGGCAAGAAGTGGACAAAAGTGGTATGGGAAGGTGGTGTCCTTTACAGCCTCTATTGCAATAGATCCGATTTCATTTAAAAACAGCAGAACACATTTTCCACACATGACCAGATACATATTTTCTTCTCTGAATGCTTGCCCTTGAATAGCCATAATTTAAAGTGACAAGTGCTACAAGTTGAATGGATACCACATTCTGCTACCACCTTCTTTACAAAGGAGAGAGAAGAGGTGATCTTGCATTTTTAATATGCTGAAATTGTAGGACATGAAAATGGAAGGCAACGGTTTCAGATTCAGATAGAAAAAGAACAGACAGGAGCTGTAAGAAAATTTGGAGCAAATAGAGATGTTAACAATATTTTCTCTTAAATCCTATCAGTCCCCAACCTTAAGTGTACTGCACAGAAAGAAAAATAAAATCTGCTGCTTTCCACTGGATGTGAGCGGCACTTAACCTTTTCAGCTCGCCCACTATCTTCGACCGTTACCTTTCATCACTATCATCAACTTTATCTAAGCCAAAGCCTACATTAGAAAGCCAGACTACCTATGTAATCAAAGTAGTACTCTAAGTTTACCGCATCTGAAGAGTTTTATTTCTCCACCCATCAGCTCCAGCTGGTAAACAGAAATGCTCCCACATCCCATTGCATAAGCATACACCTGCAGTCACCCTTTTCCCAGTCAGATCAAGCCTGTCTCTTCTTGTATGAACCTACTAGTGATGCAATTTTTGATTTATGGAGGCATTGCAGGGAGACTGGTGAATTGACTTTGCAGGGAAGAAGACCAAACATGCTAGACATGGAAAGAAAAATAGCTGTTCAAGAGTCTAAGCACTGCATATGGGCTGTATTTCAGTCATTAAGAATACAAATAACAGAAGGATACATTATATGCTATTATGCAGTCATAGCCACAAGTCACTAGACAGTAACCAGTGGCACAAGCCAGGACTTCCATGGCCATTACATACAGATTTCTTATCACCATTAGTCTTACAAGAAGATCATTTTATTAATATTGCAAAAACAGCCAAATGACTGTGATTCAAGTTTCAAACTACACAAGGACCAAAGAGTCCAAGCCATATCCCTGTTTGTTACTCTTCTTCCAGACAGCGATACTCATTTGGCAGTGTTAATCTTTTACAGCAGCTGGGCTATGTTTTTCAGGGTCTCTAACCTGGAACCCTTCCAGGCTACAACAGATGCTTGTAGCTGGAACATTTAGAGCAGAGGCAGTTTAGGAAGCTTTTCCTTGACACATAAGCTTCCGCCAGGGCACTGGCTCAACTGCATCAAATCAAATCGAGGTCTGGAGACCAAGGCAGAAACAGAAGACAACAGAACTAGAAAGAAGAAAAGCAGATAAATGATTGATGAAAACCATGGCAAACAGGAGCATTCTCCAGTGATCATGCTCTATGTGCTTGGTATTTGTTCACCAAACAGCTGCCTTGTTCAAAGCTAGATCAAGTATTTGCCATAAAGCACTGCAGACCTACCCATAGTAATTTCCAGAACACTCTGAGCTCATTAGTTAATATTATTTGATGTATGAGCTGTCTTCATTCATAATTTCAACTTCAAAAGAAGCTTCTGTAATCAAATCCTCATACTCTTTAGTAACTCTGAAACCTGCTAATTCTTCCTCCTGTTTACTACTGTAAAACTTCCACCTTCGGCTGCTGCCAACAGCACACCCATGCTCTCTGCTGCCTAGATGCGCGCCCAAGGAATCCTCATCCTTTTTTTGATGCCAGCACATTCAGGCCATTTTCAACTCTTCACAGTTTTCCCTCCACAAACATTTTAGATCCTGTCTTTTCTCTTTTATCCATGGTGTTGTTATTTCACACTTCTATGACTGAATCATTTCTCCACAGCTTTTCTGATGGCCCACTTCCATTCAAGGCTAACTTGCATTGAGAGAGGTCTGGGAGTATAAAACACTGTATGCAAAGAGTAAATAGACCCATATTTCTCAAACAGGTCCCCCTATATCCAGAACTGTAACATCATAAAATCAGTCTGACTAAATTCACCTCCCTGGCCATCACCGTCCCAAAACACTGGTTCTCTCTTCTCGCATGAAGTAAACACAAGCATTGTAACTTGCAAGAAATCACCCGCAATATGGAAAGGTCATGGAAAGCTCGCAGTGTACGTTAACCTTCCTGTTAGCAGGACAGTGCTACCAGGGAGGGATACCGCACCTGTCTTATCCATACCTTCACTTTCCTTACCGATTCTTTTTTACGCCTCTGCTCGCTCAGTTATACTGATTTAATAACTCCTTTATTCACTCTTTTCCCAGTCACCTTCAGTTTTTCCATCCCAGAAAGACTGTACTTCCCAAAATATCAATATCACATTTTCACCCAAGCTTACACCCTAAACCCACTTATTTAGCTGAGTGCCATACAAATTCATAGGAACTGATGTACTGGAAGCCGTTTCCCTTGTCTCTGAGGCCACAGCCACAGCCCACAAATTGCTGCAGAGTCCTGTTGGCCCAACGTCCTTATTACAGCTCTAACTTATACCACCCGACCGGACCTCGGTCTCTA